ACACACACACACACACACACAGCAGTCAAAAGGTTAGAATTAAGATGGTTTATGTTTTTGAAAGAAGTCTCTTCTGCTCACCAGGAGTGTATTTATTTGATCCAAAATACAGTAAAAACATTTTTAACAAATATAAAAAATATATATATGATTACAATTTAAATGATCTGTTTTCTGTGTAAATATATGTTAAAATGTAATTTATTGCTGTGATCAAAGTTGAATTCAGCATTATTAGTCTTCAGTGTCACATGATCCTTCGGGAATCATTCTAATTATGCTGATTTGCTGCTTAAGAAACATTTCTAAATGCTATCTATGTTGAAAGCAGTTGTGCTACCGAATATTTTTGTGGAAACTGTGATACATTTTATTTTTCAGGATTCATTGATGAATAGAAAGTTAAAAAGAACAGCACTTATTTGAAACAGAAATCTTTTGTAACCTTATAAATGTCTTTACTGTCACTTTTGATTAATTTGATGCAACCTTGATGAATAAAAGTATTACTTTCTTTCATTTAAAAAAAGAAAAAAAAACAGACCCCAAATATTTGAATGGTAGTTACACAACTGATTTCAACATTGATATTATTCAGAAATGTTTCTTGAGCAGCAAATCAGAATTTGATAATTGTAATAATATTCCATAATATTAACGTTTTTTTTTCTGTATTTTTCATCAAAAAATGTTTCTTGAGCAGCAAATCAGAATTTGATAATTGTAATAATATTCCATAATATTAACGTTTTTTTTTCTGTATTTTTCATCAAAAAATGTTTCTTGAGCAGCAAATCAGAATTTGATAATTGTAATAATATTCCATAATATTAACGTTTTTTTTTTCTGTATTTTTCATCAAAAAATGCAGCCTTGATGAGCAGAAGAGACTTCTTTGATATATTTTGAAAACCTTTCACCAGTAGTATGGGATTGTGTAATTTTTCTTTACACTTTACTGTAATAAACAGTAGATGAACTTCAGGGGAAGGCTGTCAAAAGTCAGACAGTGCCATCTAGGATCTCTGCGAGAAACTGCCTGACTGTAAATAACAGGCTTTAAACAGCAGTGCAGATATTGCTATGAAAGATTTGACATCAAGGAATCATTTGATTATTTGCATGTAGTGTTGTTTTCTGTGTTGTCCGCAAACAGAACTGTCCTTCTAGTTCCAGGCCTGCATGTGGAGACTGAAGTTGATTCTCCTGACCTGCTTTTATATTGTATCTTATCCTAAAATCAAACTCATTTCCATCCATCTTACAGGTAACAAACGGGACTTCAATCATTTTTTTCCTGCCAGCTGGAGGACATCCACAAACACACGTTGCCCCGTTCGCAGACAGCGATTCTGAAGTTCTGGAATGGGCAGCAGAGACGTTTGGTGGAGTGACGTCCTTCACCACAGCACGAGATCCCATGACCATAACTTTCACCGGGATGAAGGGTAAGATCACGCTCTGCATCGGTGTAGTCGCTTCTTAAGATGCGTGCATTATCAGTGATCTGGTCATTTGTGAAACACTGAACTCTTTCAGATGCACAGCAACCATCAACGTGTGACCTGCAGCCGGAAACACCTGCAGATAAACAGTTCATTGATCTGAAACTGACACCTCCATCTGATGAGCTCAAATCATGTTACACAAAGCATTCTGGGGAACCACTGCACGTGATCAATATTCCTGATGGCGTCAAAATACGGTAAATGGCACCAGTAGAAATGGGATATGGACATTATTTATTTCCATGATTGGTCCATAATGCAGCTTCTACTCTGACTGGGACAGTGCTTCACTTCTTCTGGCCTCTTTACTCGTTATCTGTACAGCACAGAATTGAAGTTGAGGTTTCATTGGTTTGTTTTTAAAGATGGTTTAGTTTTATCTCTCCTCTGTTGTCATTGCTTCCCTCACATCTTCTACTAAATCTCTTCTGTCTGAAGTTTAAGGTTGAAATGTGATCACCCCATTTTTTTTAAACTCTGGTCATGTATCAACATTGCATTCATGTGGCTTTTTTTCTTTTCAGGAATGTTTCTTTGCATTTACCATCCAAGTCTAAAGTGGTCCTGAGAGGTCCAGCAGGCACTGAATGGACCATCGGCGACACTAAGGATATCCAATTGCTGGTGAGAATTGCATGTGGAAGCTTATTTCCACCACAGAATACAAATATAAAAAGGGACTTTTTATCTAACATTTGTTTTTCTTGTTATTGCAATCCATAGTGTATTCTGACTTTTCATATCATAAGTCACAAGTCATAAGTGAGAAAATCCATAGTGCAAGTTAACTCGCAACAATAACTTTACATAACTCACATTTGCAAGTTACATAATGCAATTCTGACTTTTACATCTCACAATTCTGAAAACGTTCTTCTGTGTTCACATCTTGCAATTAATAATTAGCTAATTTTTTCCAAATCGTGAAAAAAGATCCAAACTGTGAATTTATATCTTGCAATTACACGTTTACATCTTGCAATTAATACCTTGCAGTTGCAAGACATAAACTTACAATTCTGAGAAAAAAAGACCCAAATTGTCAGTTTATAACCCACAATTATGAGTTTATATCTTGCAACTCTGGCTTTTTTACATCTTGCAATTAATAACTCATAATTTTGAGTTCCAAACTAGCCTGCAATTATGAGTTTGCATCTAGGCATTCTGACTTACTTTCTTTGCAACTTGTAATTGCGAGACATAAACTCACAATTCTGAGGAAAAAAGATCCAAAATGTGTCATTCCGATTATTTTTATTTATTTTTTTTGTCAGGATTCTGAATTTACATCTCAAAATGACTAACTTTCAGTCAAAGTAAAGAAAAAAAGTCTGAATTGTGAATGTATAGCTCACAATTATGAGTTTACATCTCACAATTCTGACTTTTTTCTCATAATTCTGAGTTGTGCATATACATTTCTAGAAAAAAGTAAGAATTGAGAGATAATGACTTTATATTTTTATTGCATTGCGTAAATAAGCTTCCACATTTTCACGACCTTAAATCATCAAAAATAAGTGCTTTTTACCAGTACCTAACAAATTAAATAACAAGCATTCTGTATGACTAGGTATTTACGTTGCCCTCTTACAGGCGAACAATCGTATAATCTTAAATGGATTAAGTTTGCCTCCGAGGAGGACGATCTCTGATGACCCTAGAGAAATCAGGCAGAAGGTGTTGTTATACTACAACAGCACCTCCATCACCAGCTACTCTGAGATCCGTCTGAACATGTCACACATCCAGCTGTGGATCAGGGACAGCACGAGCTCCTCAGGTAATGTGCTGTGGATCTTCTTTCTCTCACATTAGCCTGGACATTAGGTTTGGTCAGGAATCAGGCCTCATTGTGTAGTTCTAGGCTGATTTTACTGCTCAGCTCTACAGGAAGACAGACAGACAGACCCATTTGTCCATCAAAATACCAGAAATCATCATATAAAGGACTTTTTTCCCAGTGTTTCATTTTATCATCAACTTTTTTTTTTTTTAGAATAAATCAAAACAGACACAAGCGAGTTGATTGTTTTCATGCAGTATAGAGCTATGAAATTAATGTGGAGGGCAGCTCAATTCATTTGATCTGGGAATGTGTGAGTTCATTTTGAGTCTTTTTTTTAGGAGAAAAGCAAAGGCAAAGTAACTAAAGTAAAAGCCTCCATTTTGCTCTCTGTTTAATCTCATTTCTATCTAAGAGAAACAGCTGAGATGTTACATATGTAATCTCATTTGAGGTTCTTCTTTCATGAGGATTCTCTGCTCTTCCAGTAAAACCAGTGTCTGAGTTTCCTCATGGGATGCTCAAATGCTCAAAAGCATTTAGGGTCAATCTGTTGAATTCTTATTAACATGCATGAAAACATATGTGACCCTGGACCACAAAACCAGTCTTAAGTCGCTTGGGTATATTTTTTAGCAATAGCCAAAAAA